ATCAAATTTATATTTAATTTTAAAATAATTTATATTTCAAATGAGAGGTGAGAGATATTAATAATTGTTAAAAAAGAAGAAAGTGAATAATGAGATAGTAATAAGTTCTTTATTTTATCCAATAATCATTATTAATGTCTCTCACCTTTTATAATAACAATTTTTTTCACTTAAAATGTTTCATATATATATATATATATATATATATATATATATTAGTTTTGATTTAAGTTAAAATTGTGATTGTATAATCGATAAAAAAAATTAAAAATGTCATTAAATTTACAATTTTTTATATAAATTTTGTAGTTTATATAAAATGAGTTTTTAATTTAAAAGTGTAAAATAAATAATAAATACGATTTATGTAAATTTTTTGTTAAATTGTATTATATATTGAAGTTGAATCATTTAATACCATCTAAATTACTTTTAATGGAGATGGAAGTTAATATTATATTTAAACCAAAACATATTTTATTACCTTTTACTTAAAATCACTTTAACCCGAACTACAAGCATCCTAAGACAATGGATAATGAATTGTTTATTAAAATAGCCCTTTAAATGTAAGAAGAAATTATTTTTTTTATCTTATTGAAAATTTTTCACCCTCTTTTCTATTTGTTTTTAAATAAGTCATACTTTACTCCTAATTTATCACGCTAATTATGCTTTTCACTTTAATATATTAAATTAAGACTTAATTTGGATAAGTTCTAGGACAATACTTTAAAAAAATAATATGAAGATCAGGTAAAACTTCTTTTGCAAGTTAAAAATAATATACTTTTTTCAAATTTTAAACAAGTTAAATAAAAAAGTTCAAAAAAATTGTAAAACATAATTATTTTACATACTTTTTTTCTTTACAAGTTTATATAAATTAATGATATATTATATATTTATTATGTTTTTATTAATTATAAATAATTTTTTAAGATAAAAAAATATTTAAATAATTTTAAAAATAATTAAATATAACAAATTAAAATTTAAAATTAAAATATGAAAACTAAAAGTGTAATTAATTTTCTCAAACAACTCTTATCTTTAGTGTCATTTTAATTCAATTTAATTTAATTTTGTTTGTTTCCGCTGGTTTTGGACCGAGGGATTTTAACATGATAGAAAAGCTATGGTGAGAACATTATCTTGCGGTTTGGGTGTGTTTTCATGTAAAGGATGGATTGTTTTTATTTCTTGTGATGCCCCATTTTGCATGTTCAAACACGAAATGACAACTGGAATGGAACCCGCAAATTGGCATCAGTGTGTCTAAATATAGTTCCTTTAAAACATTAAAGTAAAAAATAAATAATTAAGAGTAAGAAAAAAATAATATAATGATTTTTTAATCAACTTAAAAGTCTATTGTTTAAGAAGTAAAATATTAATAAAATTATTTTTCTTTATAATTTGTAATATGTATATCTTACAATTAAAATTGATTGAAAATGATAAGTAATTTATATTCTCTTACTATAATAATTTTTTATCACACTTTTGTTAATTTTATTTTAAAATTTTAATATTAATTTATATAATTTTAAAATATTTTTAAAAATACATATTTTTAAGTTTAGAATTTATTTTTAATTGTCTCATCTCTTAAATTTATGGTTATTAATATTGTTGATTGTTGATATTTATTTCAATATTTTTTAGACATTATGATATAAAAGAAATATTTTAAATAAAGTATATTTTAAAATTATTTAATTTTATTAAATATTTATTATTTTGATAAAATTATATATAGTTATTAAAAAAAATAAAATAGTTTTATATTTCACATATTTTTAAACTAGTTATTTTAATTTTAGTTAAATTTATTTAAATTTTTGCCCTCTTTTAAATTTATGTGAATAAATAATTGATTTAGGCATTTTCTACTTTGTTACAGAAGGAAATAAATGTTAATAAACATTGAAATTCAATATTGTCATTAATATTTTTATTAGTATTAGTATTATTATTTATTATATTATAATTAAATTAACTAAAAATTAAATTTTAAACCATAAATTAATTTAGAATAATACTTACAAGTTGATTCATGTAATAATATTAAAGAATTATATTTATTATATGACCATTTACTTACATTAGTAAGATATTAACATACTTTTATACTGTATGTATATAATTTGTTTTCATGTAATGCTTTGTGTTTCTTAATTGAATTTTATTTTAACGTAAGAATGGTTGTTCCTCGTAAAGCATAAAGACCTTTAATTGCGATATCCCTTTAATAAATTTAACTAAATAATTTATTGTTTATTTTCAATAACTTTATCTATTTTTAAAATATTTTATTATTTTAACACAGTAATTTTACCCATTAGTTTTAGAACAATTATGATTGGGCCGTAGCCAAAATTTATAAGATAGTTCATAGACTTAAAAAATAATTTTTAAAAATATAAAAAAATTAATATCAATATTGTCTCGTATAATTATTTTATTTTTAAAAATAGTAATGAAATATATTTAAAATAAATTTAGAAAATTAGGGATTGAAATGAAAATTTTAAAGATAAAAAATAATATTTATTTATAATTAAGTGCACATAATTTGTTTTAAAGATTGAATGAGATACCAAAGAAAGAAAACAAAAAAGACAAGAAAAAAAATCATTTTTAAATTTTTTCAAATATTTTAAATAACTGATAAGGTATTATTTATCATTTACTTTTATCTTCCAGTTAGTTTATAAGTTGCTACCTTGATTATATTTCTCTTAACTTTGTTTATTTATAATTAAAATTTTATTATGAAGTTTAATTTTATTGTATCAGTATTCAATTTTTTATACTGCATATCAACTTATTAGAATACATCATAAATAATATTTTTAAATTAATTATTATATAAATTAATGAATTTTATTAATATAACAATTTATGATTAGATGATTTTTTATTCTCAATATATTTAAATTAAATCCTTAATTCTAATATATTATAATATAAATATTTTTATTATAAATAAATTAAAAAATATATAAATACACCATTTAAATTATTTATTTGTACAAGTTAATAATTCTTTGAAGATGATTCGCTGTTTCGATTTTATATTTGTTATAAGCTTCCATTATACTTATCTTATTTACTCATGGCAAATCATAAATCTTTACTATAGCACTGATTATATTAATCTTATTTGTATGAATTAATTTTTTTTATAATATTTGTTTGAAGCACTTGAGCTAAACATTATGATAAAAAAAATAATTAATATATACTGACAGTATAAAAAATTAGACACTAATTATCATCAAATTAATATATAATGAAATAATATAGTATAAATATAGATTGAAAAGGACATGTGCAAATAAATAAATAAATAATATTTATAAAATATTTTAATCTAAATTAAAATAAATAAATTTTCACTTTTTTATTTTATTTATCTTCTTGGTTTAAAAAAGCAACACGTGTACAAAACATTCAGCACGACACTATCTCATTTATTGGCTATAAAATGGACGAATCAAAGGTCCTTTCAGGTCTCCAAATGGACTGAGTCGAGAGAGAGTAATACGAATGGTCTGAGAATTTGAGTGTGCGTACGAAACAAAGAAGAGAAGAAAGTGAAGAAGAATTGTAAAAAAAGGTGATAGAAAATTTTATTTTATTTTTTATTTTTATAATATCTTGAGTATGTAATTAATTATTATTTAATATATATTTACTATTTTTTAATTTATAAATTACCTTTCCTGTTTTTCTAACTTTATTCATTTGTAAATTATTATTTTTATCCAATTAATTTTATTATTTTACATTAATTATAAATTGTTACCACATCATTACTCTTATTAATTTTAGTAATAGATATCATTTATTCATATTAACTTTATCGTCAATTAGTATTTATTCATAGTACTCTTATGATTAGAAGAATTTTAATACTTTTTCACGACAAAAATTAAGAGAAAAAACATATAAATTTTTAGTATAGATATTTAAATTGTAGTAATATTTATAAGTCATTATTATAAATTCTTTGTTTAATAGCAAGTGATAAAAGAATCGACTTATCTTAATAACTTTTATTGTTATTTACAATTAATACAACAATTTGCTATCAACGTCAGATAATGATTAGTATATATATATATATATATATAAAGGCATATATTAAAGATTTTATTTGTTATTGAGATAAATGCACATATAATAGAATTATTGATATAATATATATATATATATATATATATATATTGTTGCAATAATTAAAAATGATTGATATAAATAAATTTATCGAACAGCTTTAATTCTTATTGTAAATGGTATAATTATTTATCAACATCAATTAATCATCGACAAATAAACTTATACTGTTATATTTACTTTTATGTTATTTAATTTTTATTAAATAATTTTATTTCAAAATTTGTTGTGAAATTAAAAATTTATATCATATAAATTATGTTTATAAAATTATATATTGATTCAAAATTATTTACTGTCCTATATATATAATTTGTCACAAAATATTGTTTTAAAAAATTATAAAAGTAAATAATAATTGATATGATTTATATTAATTTAAGATTTCTTTATACACTAATACATACTTGTAGACATTTATGCGTGTGTATGTGTAGAGAGAAAGAAAAAGAAAATGAAACGAAAGAAAAATCGATTGTGTTGACAAATTTAATATGAATAACTGATATATATACTCGAAGCAATCATTCTATAACAATATTTGAGGTGAACTTTTTAGGAGAATGACACTCGAACTGATATCAGTTATATAATTTATATTAACTGAGAAAAGGTTTAAGCACGAACGCCTTCGCCTTCAGATAGAACTCTAAGTTGCAGTTGGAATATGAAAAAGTAAAAATAAAGTTATTAAGGATATCAAAGAATGTTATATTGTGAATGTGTTATCATCAATGAAAATGTACAAACGCGATGATCTCTTTAGCATTTCACTTTATTTATTTATGTATTCACAGGGTATTCATCAGAGCTCAGGCGATCAATTTATCAAGATTTCTCTGACCAAAAGATGATCTCTTTAGGGTTGTGGCATCTGCTCCAAATTCTTATATGCATTCTGCTTCTGACTCCATCATTTGCTGAGAATGATCCAAAGGTAAATTGTATTTATCTTTAAACTGTTTTATAGTTCTTTGTGTTGCACCATCTTCTTCCTTCGCTTACTTTCTTTCACCCCTTTTTTCAATTGTTTTACAAAATATTTGTAAAAATCAAATTACAAAAACACAACCATGCACACTTTTGTGTTTCATTTTTTCTCTTTCCTAATTTTATCATTCTTTTTCGTCTTGAGAACTTATGTAAATATCTTTTAAAATTTTACTCTTAATTACTTATCTTTTTAAAATTTTTAAATCTGTTTTATACATTAAATTTTAAAGTTTAAAAGTTTGAACTGTTTTCAAATTTTTTTAAGGTTTTAGAAGAGTTTGGATTATTTTCAAAATGAATATAAAATTAACCATTAAAAAGAATTTTATTTTCTCAAACTTTTAATTAATATAACTTGCGTTTGAATGCCCTTTTTATTATTTTATATTATAACTTGCTCACTCTAATCATGTTCTATATGCAGACTTACATCGTCTACATGGGTGATAAGCCGAAGGACGTGGAATCTATAGAATCTCTTCACACTAGTATGGTTCAAGACGTCCTCGGCAGGTCTTATATACTAATACCTAATAATAGCTACACATTTTCTTTGGGGTGAAGAAAATTTTTAGAGAAAAGGAAAAGATATTTTTCTATCTTAAATAAATATATTTAAATTATTTTTTAAATAAAATATATAAATTGATATATTAACATAAATTTAATATATTAATCTTATATTTATTATCATAAATAATATATAATTTTTTAATTTAAAATTAAAAAATATCAAATGCGTACTTATTGAATGACTAATAATAATACTCATACGATGTAAATTAATTTAATGTATGTTCAGATGACCATTTATAATTTTTTTAAGATTATTCTAACTTTGTTGAATCAATTTTAGTTACAAGTGAATATTAAATGAATGATTTATATTTGAAACTACTAATCTTAAAAGCAGAGGTGTAATAGATTAGTTTGATTCAATTTTAGAGGAGAGTAATATGAATTAATTGAAATTAATTTAGTTTGGTTCAAATTATTCAAAAAATAATATTATTTATTTTTAATATCTTAATAAAAATATGAAAAATTCATAAGCCTAAAAAAAAATTGCATAAAACTATCATAAGAATGCTAGCAAAAGTAGTCAAGTCAGACGTCAATTAACAATTTGATTTGAACAACAGAACAGTGAAAGCACTGTAATAAAGGCATTCCTGTGAAAATGTTTTAATTAAAAGGTGTTTTGGATATATAATTTTTTGTTTATTTCCGGAGAAGAAGAGTATTCTTTATACAAAATATACTTACCACTTCAAATGACATATATCCATCCAGCAACTTTGCACCAGATGCTCTTCTTTATAGCTACAAAAAGAGTTTTAATGGATTTGTTGCGAGGCTAACAAAAGAAGAAGCGGAGAGAATGAAAGGTAAAATATGAATATGCTTGCCATTAATTCTGTATGCACTTCTTTATAATGTAATGTACACATTGTGTGACCAATCTCAATATTTGGCCAGAAATGGATGGTGTAGTCTCAGTTTTACCTAACAGAAACAACAAGCTCGAAACAACAAGGTCTTGGGACTTCCTAGCCTTTCCCCTACAAGTTAATAGAACAAATGCAGAAGGAGACATAATCGTTGGAGTAATTGATTCTGGAATTTGGCCTGATTCTTATAGCTTTAGTGGAGGAGGATTCGGTCCCCTGCCATCAAAATGGAAGGGCACTTGCAAGAACTTTACTTGCAACAAGTATGTAATGCTAAAGAAGTCTTACACTGAATAAAAATTAAGAAACTAATGGGGTTATTTAATTTTTTTTAATATATAAGACATTCATTTGACTATTTAATATAATAAGCATTTTCATGATGAAGTATAAATTTATGAATTATAAATATTTTTATAAATATAGAGAAGTTTGTATTAAGAAGCATCAGTAGAAAGATTATTACATGTAATAATGTTTTTATGGTTCCGTATATGTTTGCAGCAAAATAATTGGAGCAAAATATTTTCGCATAAACGGATATTTTGGAAACGATGATATTATATCTCCAAAGGATACAAATGGGCATGGATCTCATTGCGCATCAACTGCTGCTGGAAACGCAGTTAGCTCTGCAAGTTTATTTGGAATAGGGTCAGGAACAGCAAGAGGAGGAGTTCCGTCAGCACGTATTGCTGTATATAAAGTATGTTGGCAAGTGGGTTGTAGAGATGCTGATATCCTTGCCGCATATGATGAAGCAATTGCAGATGGTGTTGACATACTTTCCCTTTCATTGGGACCTTCAAGTGTGATATACCCAAACTATTTTGAGGACACATTTGCAATAGGAGCTTTCCATGCAATGAAGAAGGGCATATTAGTGTCTAAAACTGCTGGCAATTTGGGTCCAAATGCATACACAATCTCAAATACTGCACCCTGGTTCATTTCTGTAGGAGCCAGCACTATTGATAGAAAGTTTTTGACCAAGGTCCAGTTAGGCAATGGCGCAATCTATGAGGTAATATTCATTAGAAAAATCATGGATATACGATAACCAGATAATAATTTGTTTTATTTTATTTTATTTTACTTCTTTCTCCTGTTCTATTTTCATTTATTTTATCCTTTTTTTAATTATATTACTTATTACATTTTTTTTCTTTTCTTCTTATTTTTCTTCTTTGAGTAAGTATATAATCCACTCATTTTAAAATAAACATTTTTAATTTTTTTTAACTATTCACATATTAATGTGAGTGCTTAAAAAATAGAAGCTTGATTTTTTTATCCTTACATTTTAGTAATTTTTATTTTAGTTATTTTGAATTATATATATTTTTATTTTAGTCTCTATATTTTTGGATAATTTTATTTTTAGTTATTCTCGTTTATATAGTTCAATAAAAATTTGATATGTAACAACTTTTTAGATCACATCAACCATAATGACTAAAAACAAAATATAACAAAAATGCAAGAAATAAAAAAAAATACTATAACAAAAAAATTCCTAAAATTTGAAGAAACCAAACTAAAAATATATCTATATCACCAATTTAACACACACTAATTAAAAAATATATCAGCTAGTGAAACTTATTATAACTTAGGTAAGACCATATATAATGTCTGTTAATTGTCTGCAGTATACAGATGAAGATTTTTACATTATTATATAACTTCTATTGAAATATGATATAATAATTTAAATCATATAAGAAAATATATGATACATTAATTTATTCACCTTTTCAGAGCATACGATGAACTCAAAATTAAACCAATAATAAATACATTTTTAATTATTTATTCTACGCACTAACTATTCAAATATTTTTCTCTTGCATCATTCAAGCATTATCCCAACCAAAGAATATTAAGCTCATAGTACAACTCATCAGTAGAGCTTTGGGACATACAGCCAGAGCATGAATACTAATCACGCAATTTATTTAATTTGATTTTTCTAATTACTTCACATCGTTATTTAATGTCCACGTTTATATCCATTGAAAAGAGTACTTTTTTCTGTGTGTATGTTTTAATATTTTCTAAAGTATGTAAAGAGAGTTAAGAAGAGTAAAGTACGAGTGACACAATTTTGTTTTCCTTTCTCTTCCGATGGAAAAATTTTTAGGTGGCTACTCCACGTCACGTGGTATCGATCACTCATATCTCACGTCACATGTTTAACTTTTAAAAAAGTACATATGTATCATGTCGTTACTGATTGAGATCAAGACTATGCAATAATTTTTCCTTCCAATAGGCCTTATGCAAGCTTTTTCCTTGAATAACAAAAATTAGGCTATTAAAACTATTTTGTTAAAAATATATATAAAAAAATTATTAAGGAAGAATTCACTCCACATGCAGGGAGTTTCAATAAATACATTTGATGTCGGAAATACAAAATATCCATTAATATACGGAGGAGATGCACCCAACGTTGGATATAGTAACACCACATCCAGGTACCAACTATACACTTGTTAGTCTATCCTTTTTATTATTATGTTAATTAGTTCTAGTCTTTTTTTGTATTATATTTTTCTGATTCTAACATCATCATTACTTAGGTCTTGCTCGCAAAATTCTTTGAACAAAGCTTTGGTGAAGGGAAAAATCGTTTTGTGTGAAACCTATCGAAATCCTAAAAATGTGGATCATGCTTCTGGGGCTGCTGGTTTTATATTTGGAACTAGCAGCCCAAAAGATGTGGCAAATGTATTTACGGTGCCAGCAGTTCACCTTGACCTAAACGATGGGAGACTCGTATATTCTTATCTAAAGTCAACGGGGTACAAAAATTTTCAACAAAATCATATATATGATGTACATTTTTTTAATATTTTGAAGATATTGATTTATATGTTATTGATTGTTATAGAAATCCAACAGCTTCTATATTTAAGAGTACCGAAGGCAAAGATTCATCGGCCCCATACATACCTTACTTCTCATCTAGAGGTCCAAATAAAGTCACTCCAGATATTCTTAAGGTAACTTCAAAGTACAATTATACTTAATTATCCTTTTCAAAGTTGTTTGCTTATTCCAAATTGTTTTATGATTTTGTAGCCTGATATAGCTGCCCCAGGAGTTAACATTCTAGCTGCATGGCCTCCAATTGCTCCTGTTTCTGGTGTTCCAGGAGATAGTAGAGTAGCAAATTACAACTTCTTGTCTGGCACTTCAATGGCATGCCCTCATGTTACTGGAGCAGCTGCCTATGTCAAATCCTTTCATCCTGATTGGACTCCTGCAATGATTAAATCCGCACTAATGACAACTGGTAATAGTCTCCTTGGCACCAATGTAGATTGTAACTATCTATGTCTATATCCTGTCTTTCGCTTGAAAATAATGATACACATGCTTGAAAAGTAGCTTACTCTCTCTTTTTTTCTTTTTTATTATTTGAGAAAAAAAAAAAAACATAAAGTGAGAACCTCAAAGCAGTGGGTACATGGTCCTTCTCTTTATATATAAATTCTTAAATTGCTCATGTTCTATCACAGACTATTCACACTTTATTCCAACTGTCATTACTTATAAACATAAATGGAAAATTTTAATCAAGAAGCTAGTAAACTTCTATAATAAACACTTCGCACAATTTTTGTTGCAAAAAGAAATAAAAGAGTAACTTAATTCATTGACTTGATTGGATTCAAGTCCAAAAAATATACATAGTTATTTCAATTTTTCATGGTTCAATTTAGTAGGATGCATATGTTCTACAACCAATTTTGTTTGTTCTCTTATTTACAGCCACCGCTATGAGTTCTACACGTAATGAAGATGCCGAGTTTGCTTATGGTGCGGGGCAAATCAATCTCATCAAGGCAACAAGTCCCGGATTAGTCTATGATGCTACTGAAATTGATTATGTTAAGTTTTTGTGTGGCCAAGGTTATGACACAAGAAAGCTACAACTTGTTACCGGAGATAATAGCACTTGTACGCAAGCAAATAATGGAACTGTTTGGGAGCTTAATCTTCCTTCTTTTGCTCATTCCGTGGTTCGCTCAAAGAGTACTAGTGTCGTTTTCTACAGAACTGTCACAAATGTTGGATCGGCAACATCTACATATAAAGCTACAATAACAGCATATCCAGCATCATTAAAAATCACAGTTACACCAGATGTTTTGCAGTTCTCATCTTTGGGTGAGAAAAAGTCATTCAAACTTCAGATCGAAGGGAGCATTACTACAAATATTGTTTCTTCTTCTTTGATTTGGGATGACCACACTTATCAAGTAAGGAGTCCCGTTGTGGTCTATGTTCCCCCATAAGTTCTCTACTATTAACTTTGCCAATGCATAAATAAGCCACATGATTGGCAATGATTATGCTATTTCTTAGCTTTCTTTTTGTCCTTCCTAATCAATTTTTACTGAATAAATATTTTGGGTGCTTTGTATGTGATAAATAATGATCAAGTTTACTAATAGTTTACTTTTAACTAAAGATTTTTTCATTCATTATTCTTCTTGACTAATTCCACAACGTGGACGATCATCGGTAAGTTTAATATTCGTAAGGATACTAAAATAGATAATATTATTTAATACTTTTTATTAAAATTGATATAATTTAAAAAATATATCTTTAAACTATTACTTTTTAATATATATATATATATATATATATATATATAAAATATTTTTATGTGCATATAATATTAAAATTTGATATTGAATTATAATAAATTTATTCAATTTTTTTATAATTAAAACTGATTAGTTTAAAATTTTATAAAATGATTAATATATTTTCTATAAATATTTTTAAAATATAATCTTTTAAAATTATATATTAAAAATATTCATATAATTTGTATTAAAAATACTGAAATTGTTTTTTAAAGAATTGATTTTTATAAAATATTAAAATATGAATAAAAATTATCCTACCTAACACATCACTCTCTTTAGATAAGAATTTGATCTGTAATCCGTTAAAAAATGCAATGGTCCATCCCCTTTTTTTTTCTTTTTTGCCATTGAGCTTGAAGTATTAGACAAGTCCATTTAAGAATGAATTATCGAACTAGCTCCACTAAAGATTAAAAAAAAAAAGTTACAAATAGTTGGTGGTTCAACGAGTTGGTCAATTGCAAATTTTTCTCATCGTCACAGTATCTTATGTGATAATATCCTTACAATATAAGGATTGTGCAAACCTCAAATCTATACTTACTTCTAGTTTAAATTTAGTTTATAAACATAAAATTTTTGAAAAAAAACAAAAAAAACTCGGGGTTATACAAACACAAAGATTTATTTATTTTGGTCTACTGGATACATAAATTCCTTCTCCTTTTATATAGATGGGAGGGAAAACTGAACAAAATCGTAAAATTTATAAAAAATTATTAAAATAATATTAAATCAATAAATTTAAATAATAATAACAATAACAATAATAAATACATTTTATTTAATTTTTGTGGAAAAATACATAGGTCCGATTGGGCAACCGTTTTGAAGTGCCCTTGGCCCGTAGTCCGTAGAAACTTAAGTTGAAGTTGGTACAATAAATGTGGAACAAAAGAAAATAGTCATTCTTTTAAGAGTTCATTAACTTTTATTTAGAGCAATTTCATACATGATTTTACTCATAAATTTAATAATATATTAAAAGAAGGAAAATTTTATGTCATTAAAAATCTTTCCGTGTTAATTAATAAAGATAAAATTATTGTAATTAAGAATATTCATTTTATAATGTATTTCTATATCATAACTTTTGTAAAGAAAATAGATAATGATAACAATATAATTCTTTGTCATATTTTAAAGTATGCACTTTTAAAAATTTATAAAATTGTGACAAAGATGTCTTAAGCTACTTTGTCATAATATTACATAGTTTACTTTTTAAAAGAATTACTTATATTATTAAAATACGATTGCGAAATTTACAATAATTTTAAAGAAACCAAGTTCGATGAACACAACCTATCTTTTTTCTTTTTTTCAAAAGAGTTTAAAATCAAGAATAATATTGACAAATTTTATTGGGTCCCAACTCCCACCCTGTCTCTTCACAACTCAAATGTTTTTTTTTTTTTTGTGTACTCTCACTCCAATCAACTTTTCCTTAAAACTGTTTTTTTTTTAATTATAAAAATATTACTTTATTTTATTCTATTTTTTATTTTTAAAATTTATTTAAAAACAAAAATAAAAATAAATTAAAACTAAACAGGAGCTTACTTTTTATGTTTGTCGTCATGTCACCTTATCTTGAGCGAGGGCAATCAACCCGTGAAGGAGCGTTGTCCTCTGCTCTAGCAATGATGGGACGGCGTGAACCACGTTTCTTGGTTTTACAGTGAGAGTACAGTTAAATTTGACAGTAAGATTTGGTGTCCGATATTTCAAAACACGTTAAAAACGTAAATATAACAAAAAATTATAATTAACGACGGGTAGATTTCATGATTCAGATTATGAACTGGGTTAATTAGATCTGGTTGTTTATGAACGGAGAACAGGATGATTAAATGAATCAAAAAGGAAAATAAATTGAAAGTAGTCAAAATTAAATTTTAATGAAATACCTATAAAATATTATTCCCACTCCCAATTTGCTTTTTACGCAAAAGGTGGAGGTAAGTAAATAATAAAAATTTTAACTTAGTCTTCTCAGTTGGACCTACACTTTTTTTTGCAACTTTTCATAAAATAGAAAATTAATCAATTCTTAAATTAATTTAAGATTTTCATAAAATAAGTTAAGTTTGTATAATTTTATTAAAATAATAGTATAAATATTTTATTAAATTATTTTGTTTCAACATAAATAAAAGATGTTTACAAGTTTTGTTGATCAATGAATTCAATCAATTAAACTCAACTCAATTAAAAATTAGTAGGTTAATTTGGATAAACAAGTCAGTTCAACTAAAAATATTAGAACTCAATGAAATACAGATTAGATACAACTTTGTAATGTTAAAACTTAACATAATAAATCTAATAACCCATTACACATGGGTTTTTTTTTTATATTAATTTTACACTGTTTTAATTTTTTTTTAGTTTGGTTAAAGTGAAAAATTAAATATTGATAAATAATTTAATCTTTCAATTTTTCAATGTTATGTGTATTGTGAGATGAATATTAATATTAAACTTTATAATTTATAAGATGTTGTTGAAGTTTTTTTTTTAATTTGTATTGCTTAACTATTTATTTTTATGAATATTAAACTATCAGTACTATATTATTTTTTTAATGAATATTTTTATTTTATTTTAATAAATTTGTTAGTTTAAATGTTGCCATTAGATTATCAATTATACACAATTTTATTTTATTTTTATATATTGTTATAAGTGTCAATCTAACTATCTAACTCAATCCAACCCATCATAGTCAGATCAAATGAAGGAAAAATAAATTATCAAAACCAACTCAATCTAAATTATAAAATTTTAATGGAATCATATCATTTTTTATATCAAAATATATCCAATCTAACCCATGAACAATCTTAAACATAAATATATTTTTAAAATATAAATAAATATAATCAAATAATATGCATACAAATGTCTAAATTATATTAAAATTGTTATGATATAAAATAACCTAACAATTAAATTGATTAATCTTACATTTTATGAAAAATTATTTTATTTATTTATTTTTATTGCTGTAAAGTTTCTTTAGTTACATTTGTTAATTAAACACAATCATTGTCACAAGACTCTTTCGTCGACACTTAGAAATAAAAAATATTTGTATGCAGAACATCCCCTTAAAAACAACGCCAAGTCTCATCTATGCATGTGTGGACTCATTACCATTTTACGCAATTATATTCAATCTACCCGCTCATTACCTTTAACAACTATAGATTTAGACCGTTTATCACTATATAAGTTTGTCCAACAGTTTATGGCTATTTAAATAATTTATGTTAATTTCACTCCAACGTGTATTGATTTTAATCCTATAAATTATAACATTTATAAATTACAACTGTTGAAATATTATTTAACGTACTTTTATTAAATTTACGCACATAGTTTTGTTTGTGTATGCTCTTGGTCTTCTCTTTAGTTTGATTTCACACGTTGTTTCGAGTGATTGAAAGGTCTTTGTGTTGCTGTTATTGTTTGTTTGTGCAAGATGGACTGTATTAGTGTGAAAGGTACTCTGTTGTTCTATCTTTCTGTCAATGTCCCTATTTTTGCATGTTTGGACAAGAGATGACAACTGCAACCCCATGTTGGCATGACAGTGTTTGGATAAATTTTATTTTATTTTATGCTTATTTAAATAAAATAAATAAATTTTATTTATTTAAATAAAAACAATTTCTTTTGTTCCTATTTCATTCCTTCTACATATAATCATTAGGTGTAATTTATTTCTTAGTTTATATATATTCCAGAACAACACGGGGTGTCTTTGTCTTTTTCTCAAGTTAGAGGTAGAAGTTAAATTTCGAAGAAAAGAAAAAAGTATAAATTCTTTTTCTTAATAATAATTTCTTAATTTATTATTTTTAAATAAAATAATAAATTAACATAGATTTCATATTAATCTTTCATTTTTTATGAATTTTATATGATTAATTAAAATAAAATATTTATCTCTCATTCTTTCTCGTACGTACTTTTCTCTATTCTGAAACAATATATGTCCCTCACTATAGTGTTGAGTCCTTGGACATTAGTTTTGTTTATGATTAATTGATGTAGTTACGTTATAATAATTTCCACATAAATATCTTTAAAAATGTTCAAAACGTGGGTGCACAATAACACCATCTCATTTATATCGGCTATAAAAGGCGTGGCGTGGTTATCCCTTTCGCATACCGTGAGTCAATAAGTCAAGATAGAGAAATATGAGTGACCTGAGAAGCAATGAAGAGAAGTGAAGGGAAGAGAAAAGAGAACAGAATCAAGAAAAAAAGGTGATTGTAATATTTATTATTAATTTGTATAATGTTTTGAAAAGGTAATAAATTAATATTTAATATTTTTTTAATTATTTTATTAAATTTAAATTATTATTTTGTTCCTTATTTATCAAAATTATTTTCTTATATTTAATGATGTTATTTTGCTTTTACTCACATTTATTTTATCATCTTCAATTATAAATTGTTTTTTATTTTATTTTTACTAACTTTATGCATTTAAATTTCACAAGTCCGTGTTGATTTTATTAGTTTACGTTTAGTTTTAAATAGTTACTCTATTGTTCTTCCTATTAAGGTTATTATAGTTAACAAAAATTGGAAAAGCATTATGAATAAAAGTTTTAGATGTTTTATGACACGTGAAATCAAAGTTAATATGAAACTATACAACTAATTTTAGTTTTCTGAGATGCACTTACTCTTTTTATGGCAGTTTTTAATTTTTCTTTTTCCATGATGCATCTATAGATGTTTCTTTGTAATTTATCACTATTAAAAACATCATGAAAATGAACGTTTAATATTATTTCAATTATTAATTTCATAATCCTCATTTTTTTATTATAATCCTCTTAAAGGAAAAAGTCTTGATTAAGTCAAGCCTTTATCTTCCATCAATAATTGAGTATTAACAAAGACAAGCTTTGATTACTCATCCACCCAAAAAAAAAAAAAAGACAAGCTTTGATTAGGGTGACGTAAATGTATCACTGTGAGATACTTTTTTAGGTATTTTATTTATTTAGATAGAATTTTAAATAATATTAATGATTACTATTATTTTATTAATAATCTTGTACTTATGACTATTTAAATAATTAAGAATCAAAACAAAAATTAATAAAGAAAAATAAATAAATTTCATTATTAATTCTAATAAAATATTAAATTTTTAATCGGTGTAATTTTAAAAAAAATAGATAAACAAAAGTAAAAGTAGTGAGACATTTTAATTACTTCATAAAAATTTAAAAATATAATTGACTTCATTAATGATATTAAGTTTGTTAAGGCTCATCGTCTTACTATCTCTTAATTATTTATTTCTACTAAAAATATTTTTGTAAGAAAATATTAAAATAAAAAATTGTAAGGAATTTTGTAAAATAATTATGACAAACTTTTTAACAAGATTTTATATTTAACATCAATGATAATTGTTAGAATATATTTTTGAAATATAGTAAAATAAAATAATAAAAAAGAAGATGAGAATAATAATAATAATTAGCATTTTAAATAAGAAAAGGGAATGCATGATGAGATAGATATTGTTTCATAACATCCAAATTTTCTGTACATTTTTTGGTGGGATCCTAGAGTGTTATTGGGCCCTCAGTAACCACTATGTTATGGTCCACCATAAAGAAAATCAAGACAATGCTACATACACACGCTGTCCTTTATATATACTATTTTCTTATATCATAAATTACAACATTTATTAAATGTCATTCGAGATGTGAAAAAACATTGTTAATAGCATTTTCTAACATGGTTTAAATTCTAATTTATTACAATGTCAGCAATATTAATACGATACATTTTTTTTATATATTTTTACAAACTATAAGTGATATATGTTATAGTGTCTATTTGTTATCATCTATGCAAATATAAAGATAATATAATTCGCATGATGAAGCGCATTAAATTCTATACAATTTTGTATTATTTATTTTTATATATTAAATTTGACTCTTCATTCTTGAATAAAAGTATTTTAAGAATTATTTTTATCCTTATTATGATATTAGGTAACTTTTTTTCATTAAAGAATTTTTATTTATTTTGAATACTATTTTTTTAATTTCAAATTTATTTTGATTTAAAATTTAAATCTTGATATATTGTATCAATTTAAGTATATTTTAAATAAAAATTTAAATTATTATACTATTAATATAAATTTTTTTCTATCTCTTTTATTAATTTAGTCTGATTTATGATAATATTTATTATTATTTTTATAATTAATTTTTAATTTATAAATTTATTTTAAATTTAACAATACATGTACAATAAACGAAAAACTTACTAAGTTATATATAAATTTACTTGCAGGTAAAAGAGTGTGAAATCGTATAAATAAGAGCTGAGAAGATTATTTCATCAAGATTTCTTCTGAGAAAAAGATGATATCTCTAGGGTTGTGCCATTTCTTCCAAATTTTTACATGCATTCTGCTAATGACTCCTTCATTTTCAGAGGACGATTCTAAGGTAAACAATATCTACTTTTATTATATATATATATATATATATATATATATATATATATATATATATATATATATATATATAGAGAGAGAGAAAAAAGGATGTTTTCACGTTAGTTTTAAATTTAAAAACTCTTACACTCAATTTAAATATTTTATTTAATTTATATCTAACCGTTAATAAAATAATAAATTATAATATATTAAATATAAGTTAAATAAAAAACTTAAATAAAATGTAAAAATTTTTAGACTTACATTAATATAAAAAAATCTTGCTCTCTATATATATTTTAATATTTTTGTTGAGTCAACGTTATTTTCTTTAGTCAAATTGTTTACGACTCTTTTACAACAAAATTTTATTTATTAATATATATTTTATTCATTATCACTTTACTGTTATTTAGATATAAGTTAAATAAAAAGTTTAAATTAAAAAGTAAAAGTTTTTAGATTTATACTAATATAAAAAATATTTTTTTATATTTTAAATAATTAAAATTAATTAAAAAAAATTAAATAAATATTAAAAATATACAATAAATACTTTATATATGGCTAGACCGTCTGTTGCACGAGAAGATCTGAATCGCTAATATTAATTTTCCTAACCTAAAAGATGCAAGCCATTATGGTATGCTTTTGGAGCGATATACATGTGTTATGAAAGGAAAATTTCAAAATATATTTTAGATGATTTTTAAAAGAAATTTTAAATAATAAGAAGAAATAATTTAAAATAATGTGTTAAAAATTGTATTGTTAATGTTTCTCTTTTGTGAACATGCTCCTTGTACATCTTTGAGAGCAAAACACTTGCTCATTTTGTTTAGTTCCTTTTCCTCTCTCTTAATTTACTCATTCCTTTTGATCTTGAGAGCTTAATGTCTTAAAAATATTTACTCATAATTGCTTACAATTTTACATTAATCATCAAATTCTATGTGTACGCAGACTTACATTGTCTACATGGGCGAACATCCGAAGGGCGTAGAATCCATAGAATTACTACACACGAGTATGGTTCAAAATGTTCTCGGCAGGTCTTATACTATTACCTAATAATTGCTACCCACTTTCATTAGAGTGCATATAATATTGTTAGTCTTGCATTATTGTCGATATTTCAAAAAGTCATGATATATAGTTTCTATATATAATTGCAGCTTTGTTGATTGCTTGGGGATTATAATAAATTTAGTATAAAAATATTAAGAACTTCAGAGATGCTAATTTCATATAAGCGGGGTCAAATTATGTTAAATCTTACTTTAAATGCACATAATTTATTTTCAAAATTAAGGTTAACTTTTTTTTGCTTAGTAAAACCATTTTTAATTTTTCGTTTTAAAATTTTAATTAATAGAATTTAAACCCTTATCCATACAAATAGACTTAATTAAATTTTTAAAACAACTATATAATTTTAAGTCATTAAAGTTAAAATAATTTTTTGTTATAATGGGCCAAGTCATAATATTCAGATAGATTATTATCTGACTACAACGATAATATTCACACAATAGATATTTATTTTAACCTTAGCGCTTACAAATGAAATTTCAAATTATTTTAGTTTTATAGAATTAATTTTGATTAAAAATTGAATAATCTGTCTAAAAATATTTGTTTTAAAAGCAAATTTATGGTATATAAAATTCTCAAAACAATGTAAAAACTATCCAAAACTCAAGCCTTGTTTATTTTACGGTTAAAAATGTAATTCTTATATATATTTCTAAAAATATATTATTTAATAAAAATATACAATATAAATTAATTTATACACGCATTTCTATTATATTTAATAATCTAAAATTAATTACATGAAAATTATTCTATTCAACTTTAAATCATACCAACTCTTACTTTTGCCCATAATCGATTTTACGGTAACATCCCATTTCAAAATTTCAGAGATGTATGATGACAAATAATAAACAAAATGCATTTTTAGAAAATGGCTACACCTACGCTCACTAAGTATTTTTTTTTCCCTACCATGTTATAACAATAGTATGTGTATACAAACTCAAAGGCCAGTGTTAAACATTGCTCAAAGTAAAGACAATATACGTCAATAGATGTCAATTACGCAGGTATTTTATGATTTGGGTGAGGGAAGAATATATATATATTACTACAAATACTTACCATTCCAAATGGCATATATCTTTCCAGCAAATTTGCACCAAATGCTTTGCTGCACAGCTACAAAAGTTTTAATGGATTTGTCGCGAGGCTAACAAATGAAGAAACAAAAAGAATGAGAGGTAATATTAGGATACATATGGTAGTTTATATATAACTTACTCTATTACTCATATATAATGTATATATTATGTGAATAATTAAATTAAGATATTTGACCAGGAATGGATGGTGTGGTCTCTGTTATACCAAACAGAAACCATAGGCTTGAAACATCAAAGTCTTGGGACTTCATAGGCTTCCCCGAACAAGTCAAAAGAACAAATGTAGAAAGCAATACAATTGTTGGAGTAATTGACAGTGGAATTTGGCCTGATTCTGATAGCTTTAGCGGGGGAGGATTTGGTCCACCACCACAGAAATGGAAGGGATCTTGTCGTAACTTTACCTGCAATAAGTATGTAACATTAATGTTAAACATACATGGCAATCAACATTAGTCCAGATAAACTTTTTCTTTTATCTTTTAATTTTTTAAGTATTTTTTAAAAATATAAGATGTATAAATTAATTTTAATTTATAATTTTTTGTATTCTTATATTTTTTTCTCCAACAATTACTTCTCTGTACGCTGATTCAAACTTAATTAAAAATTTACTTGTAGCAAAATAGTTGGAGCAAAATATTTCCGCATTAATGGTATGTTTGGAAAAGGTGATATTATATCTCCAAAGGATACGAGTGGCCATGGGACTCACTGTGCATCCATTGCTGCTGGAAACTTAGTTAAGTCAGCAAGTTTTTTTGGGCTTGGCTTAGGGACAGCCAGAGGAGGAGTTCCACTGGCACGCATTGCTGCATACAAAGTTTGTTGGTCAGTGGGTTGTAGGGAAGCTGATATCCTTGCGGCATTTGATGAAGCCATTATGGATGGTGTTGACATTCTTTCTGTTTCAATGGGACCTTCAAAGGTGCGATACAATAACTATTTTGAAGACATATATGCGATAGGAGCTTTTCATGCATTGAAGAAAGGAATATTAATGTCTAAAACTGCTGGCAATTTGGGCTCAAAACCATTCACAATCTCAAATAATGCTCCATGGTTCATTTCTGTAGCTGCCAACACCATAGATAGAAAGTTTTTGACCAGTGTCCAGTTAGGCAATGGCAAGATCTATCAGGTAATATTCGTTTTAGAAACATTTACTTCAAGATATTAATAATGATAATAATATTTTTTACTTTTTTTTTTTTATATCTTACTCTCGTTCTGTTATTTATATTTTTATTTTATTATGTGTTTTTTTTCCCTTTCAATCTCTCTTCTTTTAACAAGTATATACACCCATTTAGTGTTAAATATAAATTTCCCATTCTAAACTTATCCACATATGAAAGTGATTGGTTAAAAATTTAGATATGGATTAGCAGGTCTAAAGTGCCTACGATCATCCTTACATTTTTGTAGAATTTTAGTTATTAAAATTTTTTTAATTTTAGTTTTTCATCTTTTTAGAATTTGATATTTTTAGTCATTAAAGGTGGCGTTATTAACTAAAATATTGTTGTGTCAACTTTTTGTTGAGTTATATCATCACTAGAGATAATATATATATATATATATATATATATATTAAATATCAAATAATTTTTTATAATTTAAAATTAAAATTTTACAAAAGTATAGTAAAAAATCAATTTAAGCCCACCATATTTTATTAAATATTATTAATTACTGAAAAAATAAAAAAGGTATGTTTATATTTCATAATAAATATTGTTCAATAAATTTATTATTTTCTTAACTAACTCTCCAAAATAAGGATTAGTTTGTATTTGCTTATAAAATTTTCAACTGTTCTTAATTTATTGAAAAAGCTAAAATGCTAAACTTGTGAAGATTCTAGTATAGGTTACGTGAGAGCGTCATTTCTTTGCTAACTATATGCAAAATTAATTTTCGATGCAATATATAAATGAAACATTTTACATTATCATATAATATTGACATATTATATAACATTTTAAATTATACGAAATAATAATTTTTTATATAATATGATAACACGTTAATTTTAAATGACATTATAAAATATTTTAGTACACCAAAAGTTAAATTTATGTAAATGTTCAAATGCATAATTGGCTATATATTAGTATAAATATATTTTTAATTTTTACAATAGTTTGAATTTAATTTACTGCCAGTGTATATTTTACTTTCATTCAATTGAAAAAAAAACTTTTAAAATAAGTTTGTCTTTAATAAGGGTTTATTTATTTTAAATTTTAGGGAATTAAGATTTTGAAGGCTTTATAACGTTTTTATTTTAGACAAACTCACTTGAAATAAATTTCTTGTTTCGTTCAATCATCTTTATATCACAATGTAGGAGATCGTTTTTATGTTCTTAAACTTGGGTTTTTAGTACATTTCACGATCCCTTGATTCAACTCATGAATAGTGGAGTTGTTTGACATGTAATGCGAGCTTGAATTCAAATCTCATAATATATTTATTTGTTTATTTTAATTATTCACGCCATTATTTTATCACTACCTTTACACCCCTTGAAAAGAAAAATGCATCATGATCTCTCTTTTCTCTCCATGTGTTGGGTAATTTGACATATTATATAAGGAAATATGGAGGGTGTAAAAGGTGATGTTTTTCTTTTCCTCCTTTATCTAAGCTTCTTTTGGTCCATACAGAGCATTCTTATTTGAATTAAAAAAATAAATTAATATGGAATATTTCACTATGCAGGGGGTTTCAGTAAATACATTTGATCTAAAAAATACAAGCTATCCCTTAATATATGCTGGAGATGCACCTAACATCAACGGTGGATTTAATAGTTCTACTTCCAGGTACCAGCTACAGTGCTATACATTACCAATCTCTCCTATTAATTATTTTGCTGAGTAGTTATTAGTCTTACCAACTATTAATTTTTTATTTTTTTTTCAATTTCTGGTATTAAAACTACTTAGGTCTTGCCCTGAAGATTCTTTGGACATGGCTTTGGTGAAGGGAAAAATTGTTTTATGTGATGGATATCGAGGTCCTAAATCTCTGGGATTGGCATCAGGAGCTGCTGGTATTATATTTCGAAGTAGCTCTTCAAAAGCTGTGGCACATATATTTGCATTGCCAGCGACTCACCTTAGCCAAAACGATGGGACACTCGTATATTCTTACATAAAGTCAATGAGGTACACAAATTTTCAATAAGATCATATACATATAAATGACATACAACTTCGCTTAGTCTTGAAGGATATTATTTATATACTGTTACAGTAATCCAACAGCTACTATCTTTAAGAGTACTGAAGGCAAAGATTCATTAGCCCCTTACATAGCTCCATTCTCATCCAGAGGTCCAAACAAAATCACTCCAAACATTCTTAAGGTAACTTCATTTTATAGTTATATATACATAACAATCTATATTCTCCAAGGTCATTTGCTCATTCCAATTGTTTTCTAATTTTGTAGCCTGATATAGCCGCTCCAGGAGTTAACATTCTAGCTGCATGGCCTCCGTATGCTGCTGTTTCTGGCGTTCAAGGAGATACTAGATCAACAAAATACAAGTTACTGTCTGGCACTTCAATGGCATGCCCTCATGTTACTGGAGCAGCTGCCTATGTTAAATCCTTTCATCCTAATTGGACTCCTGCAATGATTAAATCCGCACTAATGACAACTGGTAATGGTCTTCTTGGTACCCATATAGATTGCAATCATTCTATCCCCATTTGACAGAGTAGGGAAAGGGATAGGGAAAGGAAAGAAGTAATTTGATTTTGCACAAACATTTATATATAAGAAGACATAAGGTTTGTTTTGTTGTGGGAGATCTCATAAGAGTAACTGTCAGCTCTTAAAATAAAACTACGGGACGATAACTGAAACACCCAATAAATAACTCACTTAACCTTTTTTATTTTGTCATTCTTTTGCTCCAGGTTTCTTGGTGTTCACGAGTACATGAATGTATAAATATACAAGATAAATGTTTCTCTTGTACTTTTTGCTACACTACCCTTACACCTTGCCTTTTATGGTAAAAATGATGAGAAATAAGAGCTTCTCTCTCTCTCTCTCTTTTAATTATTACTATAAAAAAAGGGAGGTGTGGATAATTTAGAAGGAGTGAGGTGTGAAAATATCAATTCTCACCACAAAAACATAAAGGTGAAATGTCAAACTAGAAGCTTATGCACGTGTACAAGTAAGCGCTTTACACATTTTTTCTTGAAAGCAATAGAGTGACTTAATCCGCTGAACTGAAGGGGTTGAAGTTCAAAAATAGATATATAGCTATTTCAGTTTTGCTTGGTTCAATTTAATGGGGTAAATATGTTTTACAACTACTCTGTTTATTCTCTTATTTACAGCTACCTCTATGAGTCCTACAACGAATGCAGAAGCTGAATTTGCTTACGGAGCGGGGCAAATCAATCCCGTCAAGGCAGTGAATCCTGGACTAGTTTATGATGCTAGTGAAATTGATTATGTTAAGTTTTTGTGTGGTGAAGGTTATGATACAAGAAAGCTACAGATTATTACAGGAGATAATAGCACTTGTACGAAAGCAAATAATGGAACTGTTTGGGACCTTAATCTCCCATCTTTTGCTCTTTCCACAATTCGCTCTACAAAAACTAGTGCCATTTTTCGCAGAACCGTTACAAATGTTGGATCAGCTACATCCACATATAATGCTACAATAACTACTCATCCATCTTCGTTAATCATCACAGTTTTGCCAAATGTTTTGCACTTCTCATCTTTGGGTCAAAAACAGTCATTCACGCTTAAGATTGAAGGGAGCATTACTGCAGACAATGTTTCTTCTTCTTTGATTTGGGATGACGGCACTTATCAAGTAAAGAGCCCTATTGTGGTCTACGTTCCCCCGTAAGTTTTCTACTATGAACCTTGTCAATGAAGAAATAAGCCACAAGATTGGCAATGATCATGTTATTTCTTGGCTTGCTTTTTCTCCTACCTATTAAGTGTTAGTGCATAAATATTTTGGTTACTTTGTAAACCAAAATTGAAGATCAATATAATAGTTTACTTTTAGGCATTGTATTTTCTATTCATTTTCTCGACTAATTTACCATCATTAGAAACTTATAATTTATTCTTTTTTCATTAAATTAGTAGAACATTTTCAACAACAAAAATAAGAAACTTATAGAAGTTAGTTTATAAAAAATTAATCTAAATAATATATAACTTATTAGAAATTAAAAGCTTTTTTTTTAAAAAAAATTGTGACATCTCCTTTTAAATGTTAGATGTAAAGCTTGAAAAAAGTAGTTTACAATTGACTATATTTGAGTTATGAGCTGGAAAAAGAAGATGCTTTGATCCTCAGACAAATGCCATTGAATAGTCCTTTTTAAAATATCCATTAAGATAATACTCTGCAAGCAAGTGTTAAAATGTCTCTATGCTTCTTAGTCATGTTATAATATTGTCTAATGCATATCCATGTGAAGGCACGGCATGACACTTGATACTTTAAAATATGTATTCTCTATTATGGCTTAAATTTTATATTTTATGTTAATTGGGTAGATGAATATTATACGTTATATTACAGACATGTTGTGTTATATGATTTTCAAAATTCATCGAATAATTATGATCATACCGTAGTGTATATTCGTGTACCTCGTATTCATTCTTCGTAGTTTATTGCTTCTATTGGCTCAAAATCCATTTTCTTATTCCCACACGAGTTTGTTGTTAATCGAGCTCCACTTGGTTTTGGTTTCCTGCGAAGAGATGACTTAAGAATGAAGAATTCCACTGCCCTTCTATTAATAGCACTGCACAGAACCCTCACGTTCCAATTAATGGCGTCTTCGGTCTTCATACAATACTTAATGATTTTGTTCACCTCACTTCTTAAGTTTTACATATATAAAAAGTATTAATTTTTTTAATCATAAAATATAACTATTTATTGTACTTTTATATTTTTAATGTAATAAATATATTTTTAAATAAAAATTATTATTTTTAATTACTTTAAAAAATTATAATTGTTGAGTTTAATATATTTTTAAATATAAAATAATTTTAAACTTATATAACATATCACATAATAAAAATTTATATATAGTTAATTTTTATTAAAAGTCATAGAATTTAATATTATTCAATATATTAATATTAATACTATTAAATGCTAACTTTTAATAAAAATTTATTATTTATTATCATGGGCAATATATCCTTGGTCCAAGTGTTTTATGCTGCATTATTTTAGCACACCTAATTTGACGCCAAGATTTAAACAAAAGTTGCATTATTTGCCACCACTTAAGAAGCAAAAATTTAAGAGTATAAGCTTGATAGATAGGACCAAAGCCTCTCTGATTTAAGAGTGTAAGCTTAATTTACATACAAAGATAGTAGTCTAATGACAAGGCTAACAATGGAAGCTTATGAGAATAGGGATCATGATGCCACTTAATTTTTTTTAAATAATCATTAATAATTATATTATGTTCTATCTTTTAAATGATATTCTCGCAAATTTTTTTTTTTACTCCGATTTCTTTTCTACGTCTTTTTCACTCGCTTTCTTTCTTTGCCTCTCTTACCCGTTTTCCCGTTCTTTCCTTTTCACCTCATTTATATACTTCTATTCTTTTTTGTCTTTCTGTTTTTGTCTGCTTTGAAATATTATTAATTTTCATTCATAAGTTTGAATGTCTTCTTTATTCTTCGTGCACGCATATGTTTTAAGACCACACGTTAGTTTTAATTTTCAAAGCAGAGATATTTATTATTTTGACTTTTTTAATGTTTGTCTAATAATATATAATAAAAATTTAAGTATAATTTTTTAACAAAATTACTCTTTTCATCACTTAATTTTAGTATAAAATTTACTTTTATCTTTTAATTTTTTTTTGGTTTATTTTAGTCATCTAACTTTTAAAAAAGTTTTAAATATGTTATTTTTCGTTGAAGATCCTAACTCCATTAGAAAGTTTTGTCATTTTGTACTACATATACAGTATGTTACTATTAATCGTCTTCTTCTTCAGATCTCCGATCTGGTTTTCATTAGTTTTTTTTTTTCATCTTCTTATACTCAAAACTTCATCTTCTTGCCATTAACACCAAATATTCACCCCAAATCCTAAATCATAAATAAATCAACTTTCTAAATACCCATTTTTTATCTACAGCAATTTGTGTTTATTTTCATATTATGTTTTAAACTTTCGTAACATAGTATTCTTGTTAATGAAGGCTTGGAAAGTTAGGATAGCATGAAAAATCAATAAAATGAAAAATAGGAATGTATATTCAGATCTACCAAAAATGAAAAATGAGTATTAGAAAGTTAAGTGATTTATAGTTTGAGATTTTAGGGTAGATGCTTGGTGTTATTAGCGAAGAAATGAAGGTTTGAGTGTAAGAAAATGAAAATAAAAGGAAAAAAAAAGAAAAAAATTGTCAAAAATTAGATCGAAGATATAAAAAAGAAGATAAAGAATAATAACACACAATACATGTGGCACACACCTTTCATCGCAGTTAGTTTTTAACAGAAAATGATCTTTTTGAAACTTTTTTAAATATTAGAGGACTAAAATAAAATAAAAAAAGAGTAATTTTGTATAATTTTTTATTAAAATTATATGATATTATATTATTGAATAAAACTATTATTAAATCATATACATTTTAATATTTTTTATTAGTATTATCAAAACTTATACTGCGTACGTTCGTAACCAGAAGACAAATAGAAAAAATATATGGTCAACTCCAAAAAAGAAAAAACAATTAATGAATGAAAAGTTGTATTTATTTATGTGAAGAAAATAAGGCATTAATGAAGGTACCTATTAGAGCCGGCGGCTAAGGGTGTTCGTATAAGTTTGAAAATAAAATAAAATAAAAATTAAATAATCTTAATATTTTTTTGTAATTTAAATTTAATTTAGAGCCGGCGGCTAAGGGTATTCGCATAAGTTTGAAAATAAAATAAAAATAAAATAATCTTAATATTTTTTGTAATTTAAATTTAAATTTAATTAATTATTTAATTTTTATTTTTTATATATGGTATTTTTATTAGTAAATAAATCAAATTTAATTAAGTAAAGAACAAATACAGTTTTAAATTAGGATATCAATTTTTTAATAACTATTTTTTATTTTAAAAACAACACTTATTAAATAAAAAGCATAATATGAAATAAACGTAAAAATTATTTAAAATAGTATATCTTATTATATAACAATCAAACTCTATTCCACTAAATAATTATATCTTATTATTAATTTAATATAAATTATAAATTATCTTATAAAATAATCTCAAGTTTCTTAAAACCAAATATATTTACAAATGTGTTTTAAGTTATTTTCTATAATGAAAAAAATGGAAAAATTAATATATATTTAATATGTTTTTGAGTTAGTTTAGTTTGATTTATTTAATATTCAAAGAAACTATTTTTAGTAATCATGAATTTGAGTTTTAAAACATTGAAATTTTTTAATAAAATTTAAAATATGAAATATAATCTTAATAAGGTTAAATGTTATTCATGACAACTCGCACGTGACTTTAACACATTAAAATTTGTTGTGATTCTAACTTATATGATGCAATTTAATTGTTCAACTCAAATTTAGTTGTAAACTTAAACACACATGCAAAGCCAGTGTTAAATATTTAGACGTATCGTAAAAAGTTTTAAGTAATATGGTAGACAACAGTTTAAGGATTCACTTTTGTATTTTTAAATTTTTCTCTGTTGTTATATCAAAGTTCTTATGAGGGATATATTTAGCTAGTTTTTTTTATTGTAAGTATTTTATTTTCCTTTTCTACTAAAAAAACTAATTTATAAATATTTATTATCATAAAAGTGTAGGTGCAACTGCTTAAATATTACTATTTTCTGTTCTATTTATAAAGAATAATTGCCTCTTTTTCCCCTAATTATAAGAAACAAAAATTTATTTTTAAATATATTAATTATTAAATTTTTTATACTCTTAATTCATTACAAAGTTATAATATTAACTACTCACTCAGCTAGTTTCTATACAAGTTATTGAAATAGTTATTTAACATTATGAACATTTTTATAATAATAATAATGTTTATATCATGCAACTGTTTTTATTAGTATAGATGAATTAATTATTTTTTTATAAACAGAAGTAAAGGTAATATTTAATAATCAAATTTTAAAATTTATTTTGATAATATACAATAACATTAAGTATAGATATTTTGTTGAAATAAAACTGTAATTTCAATTAGTAAACAACACTAATGACACTTACAAAATAATACCTAAATTTTCTCCATTAATAAATAATAAATATTTATTAAAAATATAGTATTTAATATTTTCAACACATTAAATTCAATAATATTATACAATTTTCATAAAAATATTATTATACATATATTGTGAAACACAAGTTAAAAATAAATTTTCAAGATAAAGATAGGTATCATTTAAACCTGTACCAAACGAAGACCAGCGGCTATAAAAGGGTACATGCCATGCAAGCAGATGCAGAAACACATTCTCAAAATACACTGGGAAAGATTAAAGTATTACACTGCACACAATCAATTTGTACTTTGTAGTTTCTCTGGATATCTTGCAATAATATGGCAATCAAAATAAGTGCACTCCTTGCAACAGGGCTTATCATCGTAAGCCTTGTCTCGGTTGCATCTGCTACTGCCGGAACTGCCACTTATTACGATGTTTACGTTCGTGAGTACCAAATTTTCAACTTTAGAGAAGTTAAATTAATACTTTGATATTATCTGCTTATTTAGATTTTTTCGACCCTCTTGTTCTCTTCATCGTTATATGAAACGCACCTTGATCACACAGTAGCCAAGGGTCAATAATAATGGTGTAAGAGCATTCGTGATATGGAAGAGTCTAAGGCATGTATCAAGAACATAATGTCTTGTTGAAAGTAAATATACTAAACTAAACTAAGAATCCATAAATTATTTTTATAGGTTGAAACAACCTCTTGTATATATAAAGGGTTTTGTATACTGGATATATAATAAAATGCTAATGGCACTTAACATATTGGCAGCATCTGCATGCTATGGATACCAAGATCAGGGGACGATGATAGCTGCTGCAGGAGACTCAATATGGGCTAATGGAGCAGCATGTGGTAAAATGTATAGTATAAAATGCACAGGTGCCACTAACCAAGGTGTGCCTCAGCCATGTAAGGGTGGGAGTGTTACGGTCAAGATTGTGGATCGTTGCCCTTCCCCCGGTTGCCAAGCAACCATTGATCTCTCTAAACAAGCTTTCTCTCAGATCGCTGACCTCAATGCTGGAAAAATTAAAATTGATTACAACAGGTATATTTCTATCTCCATCTCGTTCGCATTAGTTTTAGGATAAATTTCACTTTTTTCTCGATTTATTTTTAAAATATTTCTATAAGTGGGTTTGATAAGATATTTTAATTAGTTAGAATGTTTATTTTGTTAACTAAAATGTTTATAGTTTATGTTTAATAAAGTAGCTAAAATAGATAATCACTAGCAATTTTTTAAGAGCTACTCTATCTAATTATTTTTTTTGTAATGCTACTTTTTAAATACGAATTAAAAGATTTTTAAAAAATTTTCATTCCTTAACTTTTTATAATTTCTGTTTTACCCCTTTACCTTTTTTAGTCTAATTTCTTCAAATCACTTTCATAATTAAATATTATTAAAATATAACTAAATCATTTTTTACAATATAAAATACCAAAATGATAATTTTTTTTATCTAATTTTATTTAATAAATTTTTCAAATGAGAAAAATTTTAAATTTTATTTGTTTGAAAACATGCAATTACTAATTTTGAATTTTGTACTAAAAATTAATTATATTATTATTTGTCATTTTACATTTATTAACTAATTCAATAGTTCATTTTACCAAATATTTTTAATTTAATCAACTATATTTTTGGCTTTCATTTTTCAGTTTTTAACTAATAGTTTTAACATTCAGTTAACCTATTAACTAGTTTTGTTAAAAACACTCTTTGTTGCTAAACTTTCCTATACATTACTTTTATCACTTAACAGTTGCTTTGTTGTATCAGTTTACTCTCCCTTACCATAAGAAAGTTTATTGACAAAAGAGAGAGAGAGAGAGATAAAATAAAAAAGTATAAAATTGCAAGAAATTAGTAAGACTACTCAAGCCTAGCTATTTATTTTACGCAACTGATTATATTTCTTTATCATGTATGTGCAGGGTGTGACGCTCATAGAAGAGATCGATCAAATAGCCAATGTGTCCGCAGATCAGATATATAAGAATAATAATGAGATGTCTATCCCTAAATAAATCTGAATAAGGATAGATTATAAGAATAACTGTATGAGATGTATCTGATGGAAAATAAAAAAATAGACCCTATTAAAATCATTTACCTATTGATACCTCGCTGATTTAACACACTAAATTTCACAAACTTTAAATTAATATATGTGATTAACCAATAAATATATATTTTTTATACTGATTATATATACTAGGTAATTTTATTCTAAATTGGTAGAGTGAAAAACAACTTGGATTAATGTAAAACTAATCAAAGGCCTGATTGTATGGCTTATATTTTGAAGTACTTTATGTATATTACGACTCTATAATAAGTATACTCTAAACGCCTAATTTTGTTTGGATAACAAATAAATTTATATATAAAAAAAGATACATAAAAGATTAATAACAAAATATTGATAAGATTATAAAAATTAAAAAAGTAAGATTAATAAAAGGGTCAACGCTCTGCATATCTCATGCCCACCATGTCTACCATGTGCAAGGCAAAAGTTACAAGACAAATCTAACAAAGCATTAAAAAAAAAGAAAAAAAAAAAGGATATATTGTAAATGTGAGGGAGAGTTGAGGGTAAAACTGGAAATTTGATAACACTAGACTCCGATCTCTGAGGAGCCTATCAGATTTCGTTTTCTATACCTATAAGTCGTATTCACGAGAGGCCCAGTTTTCCATTTTTTTATTATCAATAATTACAAGGGATTTTAAAATCAAACCAAATTGATTTGAAATGGTCAAATTAATTTGAAAAAAATAATCAATTAAATTAAAAATAATTAAATCAAAATTTAAAAAATTTGAATTGTCTATTGTGGTTCAATTTGAATTTTGTTTCCTATTATTGCAATCAAGCTAAAATAAATTGAATCACACCATGATATAATATTTATATTCTTTTTTATTTTAATTTTTTAAATAAATTATATTTCTTTTAATTTTATCGTAACGGTGTATTTTTCTTTTAATTTTTATCTTTTCAAAACTCTTGATTGTCTCAATTGAGTTTTTTTTTTTTATAAATTTTCATCAACAAGTTTACCTTACTTTCATAGTTTTGTTATTTTAATTAACGTCTCTAATCACGATTTTTTATTTTCTCAACAAATTCAATTAATTTTTTAATTTTTATTTTAAATAAAAAAGTAAATTAAATGTCATGTAAAAAATTTTAAAAAATAAACTTATTTAAAAATAAATAAAAATTTGATACAAAACGATTGCAAAATATTAATTTGACTTACATTGGATATTTTTTAAATAAAGAATGAACAAAACTAAACTGCAAAGACCTTTTCAAGAACATGTAAATAAAAACTGAACATATAAATTATAATTAGTAGAATTAAAGTACATATAAATTCATAATCATTAAACGTGAATTAAACATGTTAAAAAAACATAACAGTTTCATCTCCTTGCTGAAAGAAAAAACTAAAAAAAGTCAATGAAGTTTTCTTTTGATCCCCGTGAAAATTATTGCTGAATCATTTTTGTAACAATAAATAGTTAATTTATCAAAATGAATAAAATATATCATATGATAAAATTGTATAATGTATTGGAAATATATACTTAGAGTTAAATTTATGATTTTAATATTATATATATATATATATATATATGTATGTATTAATAATTTGTATAGATTCCGTGGTCTTTATCGTTCAATTTGAATCTGGTTTTAATATTTGTATATACATGAGAATCCGTGACTGCCGGAGATTTCAACTAGATAACGTATATTTTTTATGTAACGTATATTTTATATAATGACGTTCTGCATAGCACGTACATGTATCTAAGAAAACTTCATATTAGGTAACTATATATTGTCAATAGCATTAAGTTTGTATCTTATGTTATGGAACAAGTAACTTGTGACATACACTTAATAGTTTATTTGTATGAGGGAGAGGAAAATGATTAGACAAGATTTTATGGATCAGTGATGTGAACTTGTTTTAAGAAATTGAGGCGTAACTCACTCTGAACTTATACAATCTCTTGTAACGAGTATTTTGGTCGAATTTGTGACATTTTAACAACTGGTTCCTTTTTAGTTTGAAATAGTATAAGATGAATCTTGTAGCATACAATTTATAGATTGTAATAACAATTTAAGAGGGATTATTGAAACAAAACAACTTAAAACTTAATGACTTTCTCTTTGTAACAGCTTTTGATGCTTGTAATGTACTTCTAATAGTTTGTAAATAAAGTCTAATGTTCAAACTGCAAAACTTGAACTGATATGTTTCTTCAATGCAAAATGTGCGATCCATTCCGTAACATAGCATGAGCAGGATGGACCATGTTTTCTGTTTCATAGAGAAGCAATTATTGAATGACAGTATGAAGTGGTTTGGACATTTTGATCGTGGCAGCAACAACACAAGGAAAAAGTCAGGTGTAGCAACAAAGAAATGGAGAGTTTTGAATTTTGGTATCCTTCTGACTTTATTATTTTTGCAGATAATTTATCTAAAAAGAGTAATTTTAAAAAATTATTTTCAAAATTAAGTATTAGAAAAAATAACTTTTTGTCTGATGTCTAGAATGACAAGTGACACAAGAAATAGAGAGTTTTAGACTACTGCATGTTAAGAGGTAGCATGCGGTAATCAACCAAAACTTCAGCTTCCCGTTTTCATTTCAAACCATTGTCACGTTAAGTAAATAATATTATATTATTAATAAAATAAAATAAAAATGTAATAAAACTGAGAACTTTCTTACTCTTTCCTCATTTGTTATCAAATATAATTTTTTGTAAAGTTTTCTTTTGTTTTATTCATTATTCTATAGTGGTAGACAAAGGTAAGTTTTATAAAAAAAAAATGCAGAAAGAGCACTTAAAATAGTGATATTTTTTTTTTCTTTTTTGATTCCTGATTTATTCTTCTTCTTTCTTTTTTGTTTTTCTATCTATCCTATTGTACTCTTTCTCACTCATCTTAGAAATTTTTAATTTTTTTCTTTTTTTCTTAGTCTTTAGTTCTTCAAAGCCCTCTTTCTTTTTTTTTTAAAGAAAATCTTTTTTCTTAAAATTTTGTTATCGCTCTTAAAAATTTTGTTGCTCTCCTTTCTGAATTTTCATTTTATACTGGTCATATTTTCACATTTAGGATTTCATAAAAGGTTAATTTTTTGAATTTTTCCTTTCTCAGGTATAAAGTAAGCATTGATTTATGCGTTTATATGTTAGCAATGTTTATTTACCATTTCTAAAAGTTGAATATAAGTTTTCCTTATTTATTTACATTGGTTCTTATTTTTCTTTAAGTAAAATTATTTTGTTTTTTTTTTGGTAAAATAGAATCAGAAAATACAAATTAGAAAATTTATTTTTTTTTTAGGGAAAAAATCATTATTCACACTACATCACCTGATGCTATTCACAAATTTAAAAATATATGAGTTGCAAAATTAATGTTCAAATATTCACACCTTTTGTAGATATAGTAGGCAATTAGTTTATTAGCTTTATACTATACGATTGTTAGACAATTTGCATATTCAAATTCATAAAATATAATTAATTAGTTGCAAATATTTAAGTTTTAAAAATTTATCAAAGTATAACAAAATAACTTCGTTATGTTTCAAATGATCAAATTTATATCAAAAGTAGGAGAAACCTTTTCTTTCCTTCCTATAACTCTGATGTGCTAATCACATGTAAATATATACATATAAACCAAATAATTGAGTGTCCTAAATTATAAATGTTATTCATAAATTATAAATATAAACATTTAACGCATAACATGCACTATAAGACAAATCTAGTCGTGTGTGGAGGAAATTATTATGAGTTAAAAATGGAAATCTATCTCACATCATTAATTAGTGACATCAATCCTCTAATACTAGAATGCTCAATGTTCGTAAACATGCATAACTCTCGATATAGAAATGCTAATGTAATAGCTCTTTAATTATATTGGCCAGTAATACTAATATCTTCTAACAATGAAAGGTACCTAATTGAAACCTTACTACGATCTATCATATAAACTCACCTATTAACCTCAAAATATAAGCTTAAGAAAATCAAATAAGTTGGAGGATATTCTGAGTGTGCATTAGGAAATGGTCTAATACTAAGCAAATCCTACACAATTTATCCCCAATCACCTCCTGTAGGTGCAATCTTTCCATCAATACGAAGACTTATCGAAATAACAATATTTTGAAGATGTACTGGATAGGACACTCCTCGGTCCTATCCACCCCTCGGACCTACTTGTACGAAAAGGTAACCGAGTACCTCTTCAGTCTAATATAGCCAAATACTCCATGTCAGGATTAAAAAGTAATTAACTCAAGTAGTAGTAATTAACATATCATTATCTACCTTAATTAAAGGGTCAAAATTAAGGTTGACTCAGCAAGCCCATAACAATGCCTATAAAAGGAAGGTAGGAAGTATAAGTAAAGGGTTGACTTTTTAATATTAAATAGCATTTATTGCTCAGAACAGAATCCTGACTTCAGCATCGAAGTGCCTCTTGCAGGTACCCTCCCCACGTCAGGCCACATCAACAACAGTCAGAAGGACGTCATCGTTTCAGAGCAGAGATCCGAAGACTGATGTTTCCTTAGCAGGAACAGAAAATCAATACCACACTCTCCAAGGGAGACATGTGAAAGATATGAGTCTCTAGTCTCCATCTTTCCACTAAAGTTGTAATCAAATGGAGAAAGCTTGTTAACTATGTATAGTAACTCCAGCAAATTCAGCTAAAGTTTGATAAAGAAGAAAGTATTTTTACTAAAATTCCCTCTATGCCGTCAAATATAAAGTGACTCCTCCTAACCTTCAAAATTAGGTGCTTACGTTCATTCTAAATACACTCTAATAAATAAATAGCTTTAAGCCACTACTACATGAAGAAGATGATGTCATCTAAAATCAATTATGACAAATTAATCTACCAACCATTTATGCATATTATTTTTTTTTAAGTCTACTAACAATTAACAAATAATTTCTAAATTATAAGTTGATATTGATATTAGTTTCTTATTATT